CAAACCCTAGGGGGTGTTGACCCCAATTTGGAGGTACCATCCAGCGTTTTTTGGCCCAAGAAGCTTGGCCTTGTTTGACTTTATTGGCTTGCGTATGACACGTCTGACTCATGCCCATGGTGGTCTCCAAATCAAGGCCCTTGGATTGCCCTCGGTGGCCATGTGGCAAGCTGGGATATTGAGTGTATAGTGAACCCCTGGAGTACGCGCTGCATAGGAAGATGGAATGAAAAATAATATGAGAAAGGGAGGGGGACCTGGGATTCGAACCCAGGTCCCAAGGCTTACCCATCCTTGTGCCTTGCCACTGAGCCATTCACGCGCTTTGGTTATAATATAGAAAACAAATAATATAATGCAAAACAAGGGTTAGTGGATAATTTTCGCGCGAAATTCAAACGCACCACTCGTTGGCCTACACATCATCATCTTCTTCAATTATTTGCTGTACCTGAAACAAAAAACAAATTGAATAGCGGGGGTTTTAAACCCTCACTAAATAGCAAGCACAAAAATAGCGATTAAGCCGTCTTAGATCAGAAATTAGGCGCGATAGGGTGGTTGGATTCGTGTGAAGCTTCTCGTTCTAATGGTACAAGTCTTGTGTCTCAATTTTTCTTTAAACGTAAAGCCCCAATTTTGCAGTTTGGAAACCCTAGCGAGCTTCAATGGTGATTTCGCGTATGATGCACAAAAACTCAATCAAATTACATGGTTAGCTTCAGAATGAGTCAAATAACACAAACCAAACATGAAAAATTAAGAATAATGCATGAATCATGATACATGAATATGAAAAAAATCATGAACAGGACACGGTCGTTCTACCAATTCCTTGCGTTAGAACCACTGGTTTTGATTCAGAAACGTTCCTTGATGCTTCAGGAATGTAATGGAGTCAATGTTTTGTCTTGAAACTCCTTGGAATCGTGTTTTCAGTTTTTGAAATTTTCTTGAAAAAAGTGCAAAGTTGTTTATGGCTTTTGGGCACAGCTTCCAGGTTTCTATGCATTAGGTTTGCATTAGTATATGTATGGGATCAGATTAGGGTTGAAATTTTGATCCAAAACCCTTTGCATTGATGTATAAGATATTTGATTTTCATGGCATATCTTCCAAATCTTTTCATGTGCTTTTGGTGCCAATTATGATCAAATCACCTTGATTCTTTCCATATTAGATAGGGCACGAAATCTTGAAGGTATTCCATGCATAAAAAGATTTGAAAAGCTTGCTTTAGTATTTTTCACATATTTTATTTTATTAAATGAATTAATAGCAATTAAAAATTCAAATAAATAAATAAAAATGATGAATAAATCCCCTTTGGGCCACATGGTCGTGCATATGCTTTGGATGATGAATCTTGGAAGAAAATGTGGCCCATTAGCAAATTTAAGGCATTTGGAGCAAAGTTGACTTTTCAAAATTCCCAAAAATTTCCCAACTTCCACAAGGCATATCTTGCTCAAGTTTTAAGCTTTGATCATGTTCTTGGACATTTTGGAAAGGTCTTGAAGTCCTCTAACCAATGCCTGTGGTCCCATGTCATTTTGATTTACCAATCTCAAGTTATGGCCTTTGACTTAAAGTCCCTTTTTGTTGACTTTTGAAAATGACCTATAATGTTGAAATTGATAACTTTTCGTGAGAGCATTTCTTGGACTTGAAGTGTGAAGAGGAGTTGTAGGAAATGTCTTTATCTTCAAAATGAGCTTTGAATGTGATTTTTCTGATAAACCATGTGGAAGTTATGCCTTGGTCAAGTTACAGTTGACTTTTTCAACTGTCCAAATATGGAAACTTTTGCATCTTGAGACTTTTTGAGCCATGCCTTGAAAATCATGATCAAGAATTGATCAAATGATGTTTGTGGCTTCAAAATGAGATGTTGCCCAAAAATTTGAACTTTTGACTGTCAAATGACCATTTTGCCCCTACAGTTGACTGTTGAGCAATTAGGGTTTTTGACTGTGCAATTTTGTGTTGTAAGTCTTGAAACTTGGTATGAGGATGCTTGACCATGTTTATAGGCATGTGGGACTTGATTGGACCCTTGGAAACTTCATTTTCTTTGTCAGAACCAAAACCCTAGTTTTTGACTGTTAGGAGGTCCTTGAACTGTGCAACCCTTGGGGAATTTTGAAGCATGCTCTTTGCAAATTTTGAAGAATATGGGAGGGAAAATTTTGGGGTACAACAACGCAGATTAATGTATGATAATATTATAGCTGATTAGAATTACATATTATTAATCACAGTCATACATGAGGATAATTCGATGGAATATAACCCCCAACAAGTTTTTTCAATTGTTAACACCAAAGTTCAATTTACGTTCTTTTGTTCCTATTTCAAAAACGAACAAACTTTTACAAACAATCCTTAAAATCATGTAAGCTATTGAACAATTTTTGAAAACATGCCAATCTTTAGGGATGTGGTAAAAATATACTCATTGTTGTACTTGAAACAATACTGAGGTGGAAGACCTTTGTTCTTAAAGAGAAGTTCAAATATTTGAAAGGTGCTATAAAAGTTTGGAATAAGGAAGTGTTCGAAAACGTATTCCATCTTATTGATTTGTTAAGAGAAGAGATTAAGATGCTGGATCTTAAAGTGGATCAAGATGTCATTCAGTTGTTTGAGCTAGTTGAGAGGTCGGAGGCCATAACAGATATCTGGGCCTTATTAAGGATAAGAAAATCCATTGTTTTTAAAGGCCTAATGCTAATTGGCTAAAATAAAGGGATGTTGACACATGTTTCTTCCATGCCCATGTTAAGAGTAGGAGTAAGAGAAATTCTGTCTTGGATCTCCAGGTCGAGGACTATTAGCTTGAAGGAGTAATGGAGGTTAAGTGAGAAGTTCCTGAATCTTTCACCCTATCATTTCTAGAACCTCTGCGAGATCGTCATCAATTAAATGAGGTAGATTTTTCATCTCTCAAACTAGATGATAATTAGGTTTTTTTTTTCCGTTCCTTTCCACTGAGATTGACTTGACAGTATCTCAATGTGATGAGAGTAAGAATCTCAACCCTAATAGCTTCAAAATTTTCTTCTTTAATCAATAAGACTTCTGCCAAGAAGTAATCTTCTTTCCATGTTTAAGCAATTTGACTATATATCTCTTTGATTGGATCTGTATAAACTAACAAAGGTGTTGGAAACTAATATTACAAACTAAATATATAAAATAGATTTGGTGTTGGAAACTAATATTACAAACTAAATATATAAAATAAATTTGCTTTTTTTGTTATTCATATAAAACTAAAGAATCATGATGCAATCTTTTTATTATACATACATAGCCATGTGAGTTGAACATAACCATGTGACTTAGTCTCTCATGATTTATAATTTCAAGTAGTCTCATAGTCGATCCAAAGCATCAAATCTTATGTGTGATATTTAAAGTTATAAAGTCAAATACATACTTTTCAAATTTAATTTATATAAAAAGTTGTGCTTGAGAACATGAAAGAATGACAACTGTATAAACTCTGACACAAGTATTTTTGTTCATTACTATTAACATTGTCACATAAAGTCCTATAAGGTGTGCTAGTAAAAGTAGAATGAGAAATTTGTAAATGATTAGGTTAGATAATAATCCTCTCCAGCCAATTTGTTCAGTAGTTGTTCTCGTGCGATTGTCTCTACTCTATGATAGCTAAGTTGTCTAGAACATATTTGTCAAAAATTTAAAAAGTTATCTAGAAGATAGAATTGTTCTTGAGAAAATCAAATCATATAACAATAAAAACTTAAATACCTTTTTGGTCATCTATTAAAATAATAATAAAGCTTTTTTTATCTATTTATTTTAAAAAGAATTTATTTAATTTTATAGTATTTAATTTTTTTAATTTTTAATGAGTGTTGTTGAAATATTCAAGAAAATTTAAATGAAATGATATATCTCTTTTAACTTAAATAGACATTTAAAGTTCGAATCTAACCGTACACACAATAATATTAAATTCTCTTAAGAAAGATTTTTGTCATATATTGCGATTCTATCTGATTTAAGAAATTAGACTCTACAATTGCGTGTAGAAAATACTCGTTTCTACTAGAAAAATTGATGTTATTGAAATGAATAGGAAAATTTACAATAAATTTGAGGTTAATTTTGCAAAAAAAATATTATCTGATCTAAAGATAAAATAAAATAATATTTAATTCAATTTTAAATAATTAATTTAAAATTCAATCGATCTGATTCAATTTCATACAGTTTAATTTAAATTAATTTTTAAATATTCAAATTATAAATTATAATTGTTTTATTTATATTAATGTTAATAAGAATATCATAAAAGGTTTAAATTAACATATAATGTATATTATATTTAAAATTTAAATTAGAAAAGAAAAAGACCGATTACATTTAAGGCAAATAAATAATTAAAAATAAATAAATAATTAAATTAATAAATAATATTAAAATAAAATAACTATAAACGAATAATAAATTATGAAAGGTATCATATTAATAAAAAAAAATTAAAATATTTTCATACAATTCAATTCAATTTCCCTTTTTAAAAGTTAATTCAAAATCTGATTTAATTTACATAATTTTTATAAAAGAGAATCCAAACACATTTAAAATTAATTGAATTTTTTATTTCAATTTTTCATTTTTTTTTTAAATCATTTAGATTTGAACACATCTATTCATCTATGTGTTTAGGCACAAACACACTTGTTAAAATAAGATAAAGTTAAAATTGAATTGAATTAAGTTTAGAAAGTAAATATATAAAATAGAGCATGTTAACATAAGTGACAACATGATTAAAAAAATGTCAAATTAAATACACAATTCATATACTTGAATTTGTCCTAACCTATTTGACTAAATAAAAGATTTAGAATGAATCCATTTTTTAGGTACCAAAAGAATAGTAAAAAAATAACAAGTCATTTTATTATCTTTATAGAAAAGTGAGCTATATAATACTCATTTGTGCTTGTGCACATCCATTCATGATTCAAACAGATTCAGCATCTATGGCAAACACAAAACAGAGGTACTTTTTAGTTTTGTTGGGCACATAAATGTTAAAAGAAGCGTTTGTTTTTGTTTTGTTTTTCAAACCTCAAAGTGATGAACTTTTGGTCTGTGCTTTTTCAGATATGCAGTTGTTACAGGATCAAATAAAGGGATAGGATTGGAAACTGTTAAGAGATTAGCTTCAAGTGGAGTCAAAGTTGTTCTTACTGCTAGAAATCAGAAAAGGGGTATTCAAGCTTTTGAGAAATTGAAGAAGGATTTTGGGTTTTGTAATCTGGTTGTTTTTCATCAACTTGATGTTACTGATCCTTTTAGTATTTCATCATTGGTTGAGTTTGTTGAGAATCAGTTTGGAAGACTTGATATCTTGGTGAGAATCATTTTCACTTTTTTGTTTTTGTTTTCTTCTTTCTAAGACAATGCATGTCACTTTTTAGTTATCTTGGATTGGTTTTCTGATTCTGCATAGTTTATAATACTTTTGTAAACCGCATATAAGTATTTTGAAATTCAACTATTACGTCGCTCGTAGGACTTAGATTTCAGATTACAGTCGTGTCTGGTAGGCATGGCAAAAAAATCCGAACCCACCGAAAAAACCCCGACTTAATTGGGTGCGGGTGCGGGGAATGGTTCCCTTTGCAGGCGGGGCGAGTGGTTAATTGTTACCTCCGACTGAGTTTAGAGGTAGGGGTCGTACGGGGAGGCGGGGGTGTTGGTAATGCTTAAACTGCCCCCACCCCGCTCCGCTTCGCCCTGTTGCCATGCTTATTGTCTGGTGTCCGACTCAGACACGACTGAGACATGTAATTAAATTCAATGACTTCTATTTTATCTAATTGTAACTCAAGTCGACGGATTAGTCTTGTGTCTGATGTCTATGTTAGTGTTTTGGCATCTGCGAATTGCAATTTGTTTTGCTTGACTTTCAAGACTTTTTGTGGATTGAGTCCTCTTTTCCAATACTGTGTCCAGCTTTTCCTGATATGAAATCACATTGAGATTGACGACACGAACGTTTTAAATCATGTGCAGGTGAATAATGCAGGAATCAATGGTTTTAACGCAGATGAGATGGTAAGTCGACATTTTATTTTTTACTTTTATACTGTTTGGCATAATATTGGTTCTTAATAAGCCTTGGTTTTCTCTACATGAATACACAGATTGAACCGATTATTAATTGGAGGGAATTGAGTCAAACTTACGACATGGCTGAAAAATGCATAATAACAAATTACTACGGCGCTAAAGAAACTACCGAGGCTTTTCTTCCTCTTCTAAAGTTATCTGATTCACCTGTGATCGTTAATGTTTCCTCTACAGCAGGCCAATTAAAGGTAGAGCAATGATAAAGTAGTATATTGTTATTATGAAATTCTTTTAAGACCCGTTTGGATTGACTTATTTCGACCTGTTTCTCATCATAAAATTGTGTCATGGTGTGTTTTTTCAGTACATATCAAACGAATGGGCGAATAATGTGTTAGATGACACTGAAAATCTCACCGAAGACCTAATAGACGAAGTACTAAAAGAGTTTCTGAAAGACTTCAAACAAGATTCACTCGAAAACAATGGTTGGCCAGTCTATCTTTCGGCCTATAAACTCTCGAAAGCAGCTGTGAATTCCTACACAAGACTTCTAGCTTATAGACATCCAAACATGTGTATTAATTGTGTTTGTCCTGGTTTTGTTAAAACAGATATGAATAGAAACACAGGTAATATAACTGTTGAAAATGGTGCTGCTAGTGTTGTGAGATTAGCATTAGTTTCTAGTGGTTCAAGTTCTGGTCACTTTTTTACTAGCCAAGATTTGTCCAGTTTTTGAGAATCATTTTCAATGTATTACAATCTTGCATATAAATGATAGGTTATGCGTTTTGGATGAATTGTTTACTCATTTATTCATTGTTGTCTATTGTTTATGATGCAAATGTGGTGATTGGAAATTATTTGATAACTTTTAGAAGTAATTCATATTCAGAAATTGTTGTTGTTAGAATTAGAGTTTTTGAGACAGAAGCACTAGTTGGAAGTTTTTTTTAGAAATTTTTCTTAATTATTAGTTTAGCTTAGTATAGTTTTGGTTGTGTCTACATAGCATTTTAATTTTTGTGTATTTAAATAAATTTGTTACAGTAAATTCACAACAGAAGTTTTGTGTAATTTATGTTTTGGAATGAAACCATCAAAACATTCACATATTGGAGAATTATCAATTTGCACCACAAATAGAATAATCGTCACACCAATCCATAATATATAAGAACTAGTAGAAAACCTGTGCGTCCGTACAAGTTTTATAATTTGTAATTTTAAGTAAAATTTATAATTGTAATGAAAAAATATGTAAGTAATAAAATGTGAAATAGTAACAAGTTGTGACTACAATATTATATTTATGGACATGAAAGAATGAGTTTTATAATTTACCAAAAAAAAAAAAACATTTTTGATATCTAATAGAAAAATCATGACCCAAAAAGAAAAATAAGTTATTCTATATATTAGGTTCAAACTTTAGGAGCGAAGGATTCTATTCATCTTTAGTGCAAGAATTTATTGGTGCACAAGGTTAATAAATGAAGGAAAGGTAAGAGAAGATATTTACTGCAATGACGACTATAAAGCTTACAAAGGAATGATACAAATGATTGTTACTACTAGTCTATTTATACACAAAATAAATTGTCACGTAGGCCCTAAAAGATAAACTTAATGACTAAGTTAAAAGGTACAAACTAGGAAATATTAAACTTAACAGCTACGCTAACAAACTCATAACCCAGAAGCTGAGCTGAACATACTTTAGAGCGTAACTTCAGAAGCTTCTGCTTCTGATTGATAACAACTTCTGACTAACAACCTCAAAAGCTCTACCGCTTTTGAGCAACATTGCTTCTGAGTAATACATGAAAAGCTTCTGATTCTAACAACAACTTCTGAATATGAATTACTTCCAACACAATCCCTTAATTCATATTTAGCTAACCAAAGAACTACAACACCAATTTCATCCCTCAAATGGATAAGGCTTTCAATCTTGACATCCTTCGTCAGAACATCTGCAAGTTACTTCTGGTTGCTATAGTATGAAACTTCTAATACTCCATTTAGAAGTGTAGGTTTCTTCTTGAGAACCCATCTGACGCTGATGTTTTTCTTCTCCTTCGGAAGCTCAGTCAACTCCCAAGTCTTGTTTCTTTGTGGCCTCTGGACTTGTTCAAAATTTCTTTCTAGACTTTCTTCAGAAGTTCGACTACCACCAAAAGCTCCACCTTTGTTACCTCTTGGACTTTGTCCAAAACCACTACCTTCAAAAGTTGGATTGCCTTCAAAAGCTCCGCCTTCAGATGTTCCACCTTTAAAATCATGACCACCGTCAAAGGATGAATTACCTTTAGAAGTTCCTCCTTCAGAAGGTCCACCTTCAGAGACATGATTTTCACCAGAAACATGACCATCTTCAGAAGCGTGTCCTCCAGAACCTACGTCTTCAGAGTTTTCCCTTATAGAAGCATGATCACCACCAGATTCAAAATCTGGATCAAAATCAGATTCACCATTTGACTCATCTTTAGAGTCTCCAAAAGATTCTTCATCTTCTGACTCTAGCTCTTCTTCAGAACTTTCAAGTTCTGACTCATCTTCAAAAGCAGAATCTTCTTCAGATTCTGACTCATCTTCTGATTCTTCTTCAGACTCAGAATCACCTTCGGATTATGACTTGTCTTCAACTTCAGAGTTATTTTCTAAATCTGACTTATCTCCAGGAACCTCATATTCTGACTCATCTTCAGAATTTTCAGCGTCATCATCTGATTCTGACTCATATTCAAACACTCCTTCAGAGTCAGAATATTCTGAATCATCTTCTTCCCCTTTAGAATCATAAAATGACAATCTCACAGGTTCCTCATCAGATTCATAAGCCATTAATATCACATGTTCATCATCAGAATCTCTTTTGGTTATTTTTGCTTCTTCTTTGTTTGACCAATAATCTTTAGTAAAGTGGCCAAACTGCTTACATCAGTAACATTGAACCATTCTCTTGTCATACTTCTCCTTTCCCTTATGATGTTTCTTTTTATCAGAATAGAAGACTTCTGACTTCTGAGACCTACCATGTTTTCTCTGCTTCTGGTCCTTCTTGACAAAAGAAGCTTTCAGAACCAGCTCAACTTTCCTCTCAGAAGTTCTTTCACTCAGACGCAACTCATGTGCCTCTAAACTGCTTTGCAGCTATTCTATTCTCATGGTTTCCAGATCTTTAGAATGTTCAATTGCTACAACAATATAATCAAATTGAGTAGTAAGCGACCTCAATATCTTCTCAATGATTACTTACTCAGAAATGATTTCTCCACAAGCCTTCATCTCATTAGTGATCAGAATCACTTTAGAGATGTACTCAGAAACCTTCTCGTTGTCCTTCATGTTGAGATTCTCATATTGCTTTCTTAGGGACTAAAGCTTCACCTTCTTCACTGATGTGTCACCACCGTAACACCTACTCAATGTGTTTCATGCAGCCTTCGCCGTCGTCGAACCAACAATTTTCTCAAACACATTCTCATCCACACACTGATGGATGAAGAACAACGCCTTCTGATTTTTCTTCCTGGTATCTCTCTGCGCATTTCTCTGTTCCTCCGTCGCATCAGCTGCAACTAGAACATAACCATTTGCAACAAGCTTAATAACATACTGAGCGCCAAACAACACACGCATCTGAATCATTCAATGATTCCAGTTTTTGCCATTAAATATTGGAAGCTTGGTGTTTAGACTATCATTTCCGGTCATCTTCAACGTTGTACAGAATACTCAGATCTCACAAACACAATATTTCTCAATCCCATAAAATAAAAATAAAAGTAACTCTATATACCAATTTGTGGTGCACAAGGTTAATAAATGAAGGAAAAGTAAGAGAGAATATATTTAATACAATGACGACTATAAAGCTTATAAAGGAATGATACAAATGATTGCTACTACTAGTCCTTTTATACACAAAGTAAATTGTCACGTAGGCCCTAAAAGGTAAACTTAATGACTAAGTTAAATGGTAAAAACTAGGAAATGCTAAACTTAACAGCTATGCTAACAAACTGATCAGAACTCAGAAGCTGAGCTGAATATACTTCAGGGCGTAACCTCAGAAGCTTCTGCTTCTGACTGATAACAACTTCTGACTAATAAACTCAGAAGCTCTACCGCTTCTGAGTAACACTGCTTCTGAATAATACATCGGAAATTTCTGATTATAACAACAACTTATGAATATGAATTACTTCCAACAAAATTTTCTATTTCATGGAGCTGTGACTGCAAAATCAACGGTAAAAAGGAAATAAGAACAATAATGACAGAAACTTAATTCTTTTCTATTTCAAGAGATTGTAATTTTAAGTCAAAATTATCTACTTCTGACTCTACAATAATCTGTGATCGAATAATCTATAAGCAATCAAGAAATAGTTGTATTTTAACCTATAGCACATTCTTGAAAATAAGGGTGACTTTGATTTATGTACTTGTGCCATAGTGGCCTATACCGGCTTATAGATAATCTCAACCATGGTTTCATGTTACCATTGAAGTGAATAACAACCTCACTTTCAATTAATTGATTATCGATATTTAGGTCCTAACCTAATCCTAATACATGTCTATCAAGTGGTTCCACCAAACCATAAAAACTAAGAAGTGCTGAGAAAGTGTACCGAGCTTCCACAGCGTTCCATTGGCATTCTGCTCTTGCCAGTAGTGATACATTGTTGTCACATTTGATTTCATCCATTGAACCAAGTCAAAAACATTCATGCCTAATGACCATGCGCATGTCTGTGGATCGAACTTTGAGCTTAAGATTGAACTCGAGAAGTTGAGATACTTGTAGTACCAGTGAAATGCTTCAAGACAAGTTTCAACCGTACCGATTACGTTTCCATGCAATTCAAGTGAGAAAAGTGGTGTTAGGTCTTTCTAGACAACAACGTCGTCGAGGAATCGAGGAGCATAATACAATGAAGTTGTCATTGTTGCATAGTTTATTCTGAAGTAAAAGAGATTCTGTGCAGTAATAAGATTACAAGAAATTAGACTGGATCTGCTTATGCTTACATTTTTGCCCTACTTAAATAAATTGGTCAACTTCCATTGAAGCAAAATTTCTGCTATTTTCTGCAACCTTCTAACGATAACTGGTATCTGTGGGCCGCTTTATGTGCATTCAGCCAATGAAAATCTTTGACATTCTGCACCTCTATTGTAGCACCTTTAAAGTCATTACCGAGGAACCATGATTGCATTGTTACATAGTTGACACCATCGGTTACAATATAAAAAACTAACTGCATTGGATACTCAGCATTGAGAACTGTTGAGTTAACAACAACCGACGTAGCCAATACATTATTCAGTTATCCCCACCTGTTCACAAAAACAATATTTTCATAAAAACAGAATCATAAACTAATCTTAGCATGGACTTGTACCTATTCTTTCTAATTCCTATAAAGCATAGAAAATGTAAACAACACTTATAGTGAGCCTGCAAGGATACCATATGTCTCTAAATCTTTGTCATTGTTAGACTTGACAAACTTCATAAAACTCTACATCATTGTAGTTGATTGTAAAGAGAAACAATTATCAGGAAAAGAAGGAATAATGTTATACTAACTGATTGTACCTGATGAGAAGGGATTATCAAGGTCCACGAACTTTAAGTCGAGCAGTGGTTGAATATGAAGTGGGAGAGAAGGGTACCTGCAAAACATTCCGATGCCAAAATAAGGTTTAGAGTAAGTGCAAGTA